TCCCTGGAGGCTCCATGGGAAAGCACTGCTTTGGTGGCACAGGCATAGGTGAAGGACTGGGCCATCCAGGAAAAATGACAGTGTCAACTTTTCTATTATTTCCTTAAATTTCCTGAAGGAAATCAGTGCAGATCCAGAAGTGCCAAGAAAAATGCAAACTAGTGCTGCTCAGTGCTCACAGCTCTCGCTGCAGCTCAGGACGGGAGAGTCCCGGACCCCAGGCTGCCTCAGGGAGATGCCTTTCTCCAGAGGAATCCCACTCCTCAAATCCTCTCTAACAAGTATGTTAGCAGCAAGAATATAAAGCAATATAGTTCCTATAGACCTGAAGATATCCGGTAACACAGGAGCTTCTGGTACAAAAAAAAAAAAAAAAAGAAGAACTGAAAATAGGCTTTACATACAGCCTATTAAAACCAACGACAACAAAACCTGTTAAAACTCTCTTCTGTAGGAAAGTGGTATTTGAACACTTCTTTTAAAAAGCAGGTATCACTTTGATGTCACCTCACTTAGGAAAAAAAATACTTTATTTTAACAAACTGTCCAATTCTTACATCCAAAAAGATAGGTTTGTATTTTCTAAATGCTCAAAATCCAAGTAAAAAAAGCATCAATTCGTTATAATATATCCTTCTACCTCCTCACTCCCAAATTCCATATTGAACCTTTGACTTTTAATTTTCCCTTCCAGTTCAGGATTTCTTTTTCCCCAGAAAGCCTCCTAGCTATTTCATGAGCACAACATCTGTTTTCTGACCCGTGCAATGATGACGTCTGTGTAACGGTCTCAGTTACTCCAGAGCAACTGCTCACAGCTTGCACATAGTACAACGGCATTTCTGCAGCTGCCAGTCCTCTAAAATTTTCCGGGATCCAAAATACACTTCAAGGTCCAACACGATCACCAGAATCAACCTTCAGATCACCCTGTGTAACAGGGTTACTTTCCATGTAAATGAAGACTGAATTTGAGTCTAGCAATGAGCCCAAACTTTGGTGCCAGCAGCATCGAGCCCCTATAGTTGTGCTACTTCTCCAGAACAGGGACAAGAAAAATGGGCAAAGCTTAAGTTTGTCACTTTCAGAGCCAGCTCTGCTCTAACCCCTGTCCCCTGGCAAAGACAGAAAGATGGAAAAAAGGATTTACAAATACAAATTCAGAAGAATTGAATCTTCACTACAACAATTCTTTTTTTCAGTTATTATCCTGAAGTGCTGTTCTATACTGTATATGTAATATTACACAAAAATGCCATTAAAGGTACTCTAGTTCATTTGCTTTGGAAAGTGTCTACTTTTCTGTACACATTTTATTTCTATTCCAAAGTCCAGAAAGATAAAATCCACTTGTGTGCAGGTAAAAGGCTTTGAACACACAAAGCACAAGGTAAGAATGCTGTCACCAGCACGTGGCAGGAACATCTGTACAGGTATAGAGCTCTTAAAGGAAAGGAAAGCATGCAGCCACGAGCTCCCGCCACCCGGCAGGTAGCTGCTCAAGCACTGGCTTAAGTGGAAGAGACACGTCGGTGTCCTTATTGCACTTAATGACTATAGGTGGTTGCTTTCAGTCAAGCCTGAACGACAAGGCTATGACTCATGCTTTTTTAACAGAAAAGGAATGCCCCAGCCGGGAGCACGCTCAATCGCATCATGCACAACCGCGAGGGGACGGGAAAGCTGAACCAGTGCTCCGGTAACAACTCCATGAAACAACGTGTAATGCTCCGATCATGAAATTTGGGAGGCAGAGCGCTTCAGAATTGCATGAGCCAAATTTTCAGAGCAATAGCCACCAGAGTCAATCCCACAAATTAGGCCTCCGGCTGCACTCCCAGCACACCGAGCCTGGGATAGCCCATCTGCAGGCTGCATTTATCATGTTTGCAAGACACCCGTTGCACTACCGCCTCGTACAAGGTGCAAGCTGGTTCCACTGAACTTGTAATGGACAATATATGAATATCAGAGTCAAAGCAGCACTAGAAGTGGACCTGGAAACACCATATTTTGTTTCATGAACTTGGTATTTTACACTATTTATAGCTTTTAGCCACTACACATTTTAACCAGTCAAGTTGCGCTTGAGCTGTAATAGAGAATCCGGGCTCAAATAATTTTCAAGGTCAGATTAATCCCGTTACATGTTCTCTCATTGCAAAGTGGCACAAAGTTACACCTGACTTGCAAGATAAACCTAAATAGAGATCCCTTTGCATGCCATGCAGTTCTATCTAGAATTAATATCAGTTACAGAGAAAGAAAAGAAGTCCTCCACAAAGGCAGAGGAATGCCATTAAGGCTAAAGCTTTCTAACAAAGTCACCCTGTTACCCTGCTGGCTCTTTTGCAGCATCACACCACAGCAGATTCGTGCATTTACCCACACAGCCTGCGCGACTCGGCTCTTTGCTGGGCAGCTCTGGGCCGTTGCCGTGTGTCTGTCTGAACCAGCAATCCAACTCAGTCAGGAACATTCAAATCTTCAAAGCTTGGCACTTAAATTGTAAGAATCCTGGGGTAGGATTTAGAGTAGGACCTTGAAGGTCCTGCTGCTTTGCAAGTGCAGTTTGTCCTTGCAGACCAAAGCATGGTTGCAGTTACAGGTCGGCACTTGTGTCAGAACAGCAGCTGCAAAACACAGCTGAAAGTCTTCACAGGAGCAACTGCAGCTGTGGGAAACTACAATGAGCAGGCAGCCTGACCTTTGGGAAGGCTTTGGGAAGAGTTGTCCCTTTCAGTTTCATTCTTCCGTTTCTTTATTTTTATTTTTTTTTGTCTATGATTTCCTAAAGAAAGGTACAGGAGAAGGGGCAGAAACAGGCCAGAAAGAACAGTAAATGAGAAAGACCATCATCTCCCCCAAAAGCCTCTATGAATTAACACAACAGAAGAGAAGCAATGACTTCTTTGGCTTTCTTACGAACCTTTGGGGGCCTATGGGTTTGGATTTCACAGTAGAAGATATGTTCACCCTAAGATGCAGGTTCCTAATTGCCACTACTGCAATTGATGGTTTGTTTTGGTCTGTTGTTGTTCTGGTTTTTTTTTTTAATATTTTTTCCGGAAGCTATTTAGCTCAGTTTAGTTTCCTAATGTTAAGCAATGGATCTGGTAATGGTGTCTAGTAAGGATGCCCACTAATTATAGACATGTCTTTGATTTACCTGATTGATAGTGATGCCTTGTGGTACATGTATGTTTTACTCCAGGCACTTTTGAAAACATGGGATCTTGATGCAAGAGGCCATTTAAGTGTGGAGGGGAAATCCTTCTCTGAAGGAGCCATTGCACTCTGCTGGGCTGGCCCCATGCTGTACTGGATAACAGCTCTGAAGCTGCGATGGCCATTTCTGCCATGCATCACGTATATCTGGATTCAAAACCAGTGCAAGTGGAGAGGCAAAAAACCCCACCACACTCAGGTGCAGACCCAGGCAGAGTCCAAAACCTCAGCTCCAAACAGGAGAACGAACAGGATCCCATGCAAGAGCCTGCCCTGCTGCAGCCTTGAGAAGCCAGCGGCGCCACGTGGAGGGCGATGTTCCAGCCTAGGAGGTGGGGATGGGGTCTGAGCATGGTTCAAGACCGGCAGATGCTAATGGGAGCCAGCTAAGAGGAGGGTGAGAGCATCTGACACAGACCTACGGGACTTAGTACGCATGACGACTAATGTGGGCCCTGCAAGCCTGCCCTTGAAGCGTGCCCTCCCCATGCACTGAAACCTTCCACGCGTCCAAGGCAAGAGCAGCAGGCAGCACCCTCAGGAGGACTTCATCTCCCCAACACACCCACCACTCTTGCACCCAAACATTATCATCCAGGTGCCTTGGACTAAAGGGAATTTCATCCCGACTGGTTATTTTCTCTCATTCTGAAAGGCAGTTGCAGACCAATCAACGTCCTCAGAAAAGCAAGTGGAAAGGGATTAACTGCAGCCTTTTAACTTCAGGCTTTCAAACCTGCTCACGTGGCTCCCGAGGAGCTGAACTATGCCTGTTCTCTCCCTTGCTCAGACCTCGTGCAAAGTCTGTCTGCCAGGGGCAACGGGGGAGGACAGCGGGAGAGCAACCTCAGCCCTGCAAAAACGGGAGAGCAACCTCGGCCCTGCAAAAACGGGACAGCCTAATGAAGATACTGACAGAACCGGACACCGTTGCGGAGCGCTGCAAAGAGAATCTGCATAACATTCGGTAAAAACGGCATCAGTAAAAGGAGGCTTTCAAGCAAGAAGTTACCCCCAAACACACAGGGAGCACAGCTGAGAGTTTCTGTTCGTTTCATTTTGACACATAAATCACCGTTATTATTTCTCACTTACAGTGTTAAAAGAGCAGGAGGATTCTTGAAATAAAAGGCTGTGCATGCACAATACCCACACGAATAAATCCCAGTGATCCACCCCAGCACCAGACATGGTGCCCTTCCCTGGCCACTGAGCTGAGCCCTCCCTTTAGGAGGAGTAGGGGAATTCGTCACCAGATATACAGTATATTGTAATGGGATGATACCAGGAAACAACACTAACTGGCGTCTGAACGTGTCCTCTGTGGGGCCACGTTCACCTACTGTTTAACTCGGCAGAAAAGACAGTGAGGAAATAAAAGCTTGATTCACCCGGCCTGAGATCAAAACTGTCATGGCAATATTGGCAGGTTAGACCCTGATTCTTTAAATAGTACATTGCCTTTGTTAAACAAAAGTCATTCTTTTATTACATAATAGATATTATAAATAAATGTAAAGTGTGCATGCAGTCAACTGCATATTATACAAGCAATATCTATGTTAATAATTGTTTTCTTTGGCAGGCCAGAATCCAGCTGGACATGCAATATTTACATATCAAAATCCTTGGTGTGTTCAAGTCATATTGGATGCAAGTGAAAATATATATGTATATATATTTACTGTATACACACACACATATATATATGTATAAAGGTATATATACACCACTGCATATATACTGTATACATATATACACATAGGTATATGCTAAAAGTGGATTTCATCTTTTTCTGATTCAGGTGATGCAGGCCTTGAAACACTAAAAATATCCTGACAGGGTATCTGGGGGGACCGCTGGGGTGATAAATGAGACGTGGGGGAAGAGGTCTGGGGTACGTTCTTTTCGGACAATATTTTTAAAATTTCTGCCACCTGCTTCTCAAGGGCAGCCATCCTACTGCTTAGCAGCTGGATATCTTCTTTGAGTTCGTGCTTGACTTCCTGCAGCGTGGTTTGTAAGGCCTGCTCAGGAATGGGGTAGAAAGGGTGCCTAGCATCAGCCTGAATGGGGCTGTGCTCCAGGGGGCTGCGAGTCTCACCAGCTTTATCCAAGCGAAGGTCACTTTTTGTTATTCCACTGTCACAAGAGTCTGTTTTCCTCAGTGGGTTTTTATTTACACCGTTCTCCGAGTCATTGCACTTGGGGTCGTCGGACAGTAACCCCATGGACTCAGCCTTCGTGACATTGTTCCAGTCCTCCTTCTTCTCCTCGTGGGTCCCCATCGTGTTCTTCAGTCGAAGCCACCCTTTCCCGTTCCCATTTTTCATCCGCATGGGACTGTTTACTTTCAGGCATTTTTGGTCTCCGTTTCCATTTGGCTTGAGCTCCATCGCATCCCTGTTGTTCTGCTTCACGGCCTCACTGGTTTTCATGTAAGCCAGGGACGTCTGGATGGGGGTGATCTGAGACACGGTGACCACGCTGGTGCCTGTGATGGAGGCCCCATTCTGCACACTCCGGCTTTCCACCTGAAGCTGGTTCCTTTCTGGGTCGATGTGGGCTGAGCCTTGATTACGCATTTCCTTCTGCTGTTTGAATTTCTGGAAGAGTTTCCGCACGGGATGGTCCACAGGGATGCTCAGCGTCACCTCGTTCTTCTGGCGCAGGCGCTCCTCTTCTTCCTTCTTGACATCGCTGATCTTCCGGAAGATGATCTATGGGGGATAAACCCACAACAGCGTCAGTACCCAAAGGGCATCGCACACAGCAAACGTTACTGGGAGAGGGGGAGACAGTACTGAGAGAACAGCCATTTCTCCTTCCTTTCTGTCTTAATGTCTTGTAGTGAATTCAAATGGCGCTGACCAAGACATAGTAACCTCAGGTACATGCCACTGCATGTATATACATATATATACACACACCCACCCTTTCTTAAAAGTATAGATTGAAAGTGGGTTTCACCTTTATTTTTGGAGCAGAAGACAGAGCCTTAAAGAACTAAAAATACCCTGACACCAAAAGAAGAAAAAAAAAGGAACAAAGAGAAGAAATAAAGTGAGCAAGAACCCAAATATCATGATACTTACCTACCCATTACTCACACTCATACCTGCTCCGTCACTATCTTTAGTACCGATCAAAAGCAAACAGTAATTCAGTGGAGATGACACAGCCATACGTTTAACTCAACGTACACAGCCTTCCAGAGACTGGAAAATCCAAATGTGCTCAATACTTTTTAGCTCTGCTTACTGCTAGTTTTATAACAGTGGCTGGAGGGTGCAATTAGGTTCCCCATGTGCCGTGTTGTGTGGCTTTACACAGCAACACAAGCGTTTCCTGGAGAGTTTCTATGTCTAATATCTGTGGGTGGACTGGGAGCAGGACGGAGAAGCACCGGAACGGGGGGGGGGTGATTATAAAACCCAGCAATATCCACCGTTTTGTGACACCATGCCATTTAACGCTGCAGTTATTTCACCCTGCAGCATCTCTCAGGCCTCTATAGAGAAAGGAATCTGTGCCTCAAGCTGTGGAAGGATCCACAGAGTAAGAACTCTTCTGTTGATTTTATGCATATCACTCATACGATTTTTTTTTTTTTTAGGTTCATCCAGTTTTCTTGAATGTGGGACTGAGGCAGGATAGTGAAACTTTGGTTCTCTGGATGACGACTAAAGTGAAAAGCAGCACGTGATTAAATGCAAATATGGACTGTGTAGGGATAGTGTTGGTAAGAAAAGTAAAAGAAAGTCCCTGCAATACACAAACAAAACTCTGTGACAGTCAGATGTAGGTTTTGAAGCATCTGAGTACCCATATTTCAGTATCTATTTACTTTCTATGAAAAGGCTTCTCACACCTGTCCATATTTGCAAAGAAATAGTTGCTTTCAAGTCTCACATCTTCAGAAGTTGGCAGAGGAGTGCCACGATGGCTACAGCTCCTTCCCTGCACGAATCTGTGATGAGCTGGACTTCAAAGCTTCATTAGAGAACTTTCAAATGCAGTAAATATGTCCTTGTGTGCAGCTGATAAATGCAGCTGTTTAAAATAATCTGGAAAGTTAACATGCTTATTAGAAGTCCAATTTAAAAAAAAAAAAAAATAGCAGAAAAACATGGAAGATATGTTCATCTGATTCTTCTGACCCAGATGCAGGGACACATCGAGTCATTTGGAAGCTCCCCTTGTTAGTGCCTCATGGAGCAACTCTCTCTCTTGGACAAGCCACTGAGGACAGCAAGCAAGACAAGTTGTCCTTGATTAAAAATTAAGCAATTACATTTAATTGAAGCCATGCTCTCTAAATGAAGAGTTGGAAGGTGGGTTGTTTTGTTTGTGCCTTTCTTTCCCTGGAGGGCAGCATGGCACCACTGGCAGATGATGCAATGCTAAAAGGATGTGTCCCCAAGATGTGGCTCAGTGAGGATGGCTGGTTCCTCTGCTGGTCTCCTTGTCTGGCTGTGCCAGGCCAGCGTGGCCGGGTTCCTGAAAACATCTTGGGGTAGGGAGGAACCATCCTCTACCCAGTGTTTCCCTGCTCTGTGGCCATGACCCTATTTCACAGCCTGAGCACCCTCTCCCCCAGCCAGCTTGGGCCTGGCAAGGTGGTGGCCAGCAGCAGCTGCAAGGCAGGTAGGGGCTCACAGCTCCCGTCTCCAGTGCAGCACTGAACGCATGGTCTGGAGAGGCATGAGGTAACTTTGGCAACTTCTGTCCTGCCGGCTGTTTATAAAGATCAGGGTGACAACAACAAAGACAACAGCACCAGATTTTGATTCCTCTCCAAACGCTTGCCCTTCACAGAAAGCTACCCTCATCTCCCTCTTTTCATGCAGTCTACTCTTGTTCTTTCATTTCTCTCTTTTCTCCTCTCAGTTCAAAACTTCTCCAGCCAGAGGTTATCTCCCTGCACAGAATATAATTACCTGTGACTGCCGCTGCCTTCTGCAGAGGAAAAGCAAAGACCTCGCTAATTTGACACTGCCTGTACCTCACACTCCTGAAGAGGGTCCTTCTGAAAGCCACGCAATTACTGTTTCTCTCTGCTGGAGGCTTTGCCCTGAAACCACTTGGCCAGATGACACCAGCATGGGAGTCTGAGCCCAAGCGCTGCTGTGCCTCAGCTTGGGGCCAGTGCTTTGGGGGAAGCTGAATGGGTCCCTGCTGCGGGATGCACGGCCGAGGTGATGAACGCCATCAGATTTGCGGTGCTAATCCGTTCTGGCCAAGTGAGACCAAGAACCCAGTAACCACTCACAGCCATGGGCTTTCTCCCCACTTTATGCACATGCAGTGGAGAAGACACACTCCTAAAGCCCTGCTGGCCCTTCCCAGGAAGAGATTTTCCTTCTGTCTCTTGCAGGGTGCAAGCAGGAGCCTGGCAGAGCTCGTCAGTAAATCCTTTCCTTTTTCTCTGCTTGGGACAGAAAGTGCCGTACCCTGGAACAATTATGGGCAGCTCCCTTGAAGAAGGAAGCCTGCTGCACTCTGAATTAGCACAGAAAACACCAAGGGCCTCAGAAATCCAGGGGTTAGCTGGGAGTCAGGAACCCAGGTCTGATCTACCTGGGTGGAGCCGTATTTCCAAGGAAGCAAAGGTGGGCTGGAGCACAGCCCTGTGCCCACCTTCTCCTTGGCTTCCTCGTGAAACCTGAATGTGTTCACAGGGGGTTGCTATTTTCTTTTTCACTCTGAAATGCATAACCAAGCAGACCCTCATATCCTATCTGACGCTGTGAGATTATGGCATTTTGGAGACCAGGGTCTTGGTCCTTGTCCACTCACTGAACTACTCTGTCGTGACAAGGAAACCATCTCAGTTCTGCGTCACCCCATGGAGACTGTCCCCCTTCAGGACATCCACCCTCAACCTAGGGAGCACAGCAGGGATCTAGTCTTCATCAGGACTACTCAATATTATTAGAATATGTACAAGTAAAAGAAAAGAAAGTTCCTCTTATACAGACAAAGAACTGGGGAAAAAAAATGAGATGTGAATTCTAGCAGTAATAGTTGTTTTGCATTACCAATTTTTCCATATTAGGAATGTTTTCATGTGGTTGGATTTAATCCACTTGCACAGTGGTTTAACCCAAGCCAGATCAGGATTAAATGTGTTTACATGGAGGCTTAATTCTATTAATGTCTAATAACTATCACAGGCTATTTTTCTCTATAAATAAGAACAGAAAAACACCTCATGGAATCTGACATTCCTCAGCAAATTGGAAGAGGCTTATTAAATTGGATGAGCTATTTCAGTTGCCCCTGACCCTTTTCAGAGAGGTTACACATAGGCCTGTCCAAACCTATGTCCCAGGAATAGACACAAACCCCAAAGGAGTTAATCAGAAGAAATGGAATTAACTGTGTATATAGCACATCTCAGGGAGTGAAGAGCCATACCCCTGTCTCACAGGAAGTGCTACATTCATTAATGTGATGGAGATTCAGTGTAGGACTTCATTTCCTTTATGGATGGAATTGTGAAAGACTGCCCTGTTCAACACAAATCATGTCTCATGAGACCAGGTTACTGTTTTTCTTGCTTTTAACGTATTTATTTGGGGAATGAGGTGAAGTTAATTACTGAGCTGGCAAAGGTTAAGTAGAAGTCAACTGATGGCCAGCCCTGGGAACTGAAGTATTTGGGTTATCTACAAGGCAGGCAGAGAGGAGACAACAACTTGAGATTCTCCATGTGATGTTGACCCCAACCTCCTTTCCCTCCCCTTCCTACTGAGAGGTAACTCGCCGTGACTGCGAAGTCAGCCCATCACCACTTCCAAAGAGGGACCTTACCAAAGGTATTGGCAATGGGTACATTACCGCTGGAGCAGCCCCTGTGAGGTGCCAGCTTGTATAACCAAACCCAAAGACAAGTGCAGACAAGTGCAGGGGCAATAAGAGGTCATGGAGCCAGCTCGAGGTTGAGACACAGACAAATTTTCCCATCTGCTGCTGAACTAATCAGTAAAGCTGTGGTCTTTCCAGATGCTTTGAAATGCACCACTTGTCTGCTGTACTGCAAAAACTTACTCCTCCACGAGCTTGTTCCATTCACAAAGACCCTTTAATAAGTGACTCCATGGAAGGCACGTGAATGGATTAAAGAACGGGTGAAAGTCTTGAAGAATTACAGTAAGTTCATAGAAGCGGCAATTATTTGACGAGAGATCATCCTGCCCTGTTCCTAGAACATCCCATGCTGTTGTTAGTGGCGTTCAATACACGCCTGCCCCTCACCATGGGAAGTCACAGAAAACAATTAATCAGAAACATATAATGGTATAGCAGAAGGGCACACTGTTGTCATGATGATGAATATAGCGCATGTGCACTGAGAGGGAGAAGCCACACAAGGCCATCAACGTAAAGATCTTCCCAGTAACTAATAAACTGTAGGTGCCCAATCTGAGGCATCCTACAAACATAGCTGATGGGCAAGGGATGCTGGAGTCCTGCAGCAAGGGGAGATCCTGTCCTAGCAGAACTGGCTTGACTCAGCTCACCAGGTGCTTATGCAGCGCTAAAAACTGGGACAGAAAGCAAACACCACATTTTCAACCCCCACAGCTACATACAGCCATGTAGAGCAGAAGGAGGAGCCTCGCCATGTGGCTGGATTGGGACCACAGTCAGTAACCAACAGGTCACACTCATTAATGCATAGGCTAGGCTGATGTGGGTGTTGGTCACCTCTCAA